TCCAAAGGACCAAGGCCCTCAGAAACCCTTCAAGCCTGGAGTTGAACCCACTCCTAGGGATCAACTGAAGCCAAACAACAGCACAGTGGATTAAACCAGCAGGGAGCAGGTGAGGCTTTTTGTCGGTTTTACTTTGTTATTCTTTTGTAAAGAAGTGTTGTTCCGTAGATGAAATCCAGGGTGGGCGAGGTTATAGAGACGGTAACTGGATTAGTGGTCCCTGGGGGTGTGGCAGGGGAGGTTGGGGGGAAATTGGGAGCTAATAATGATGAGTACAAGCATGAAGAGAATGTTCTAAAACTGATTGTGGTGATGATTGTACAACTTTTCTTGATGCAATTGAACTATTGAATTGTATGATATGTGAATTATATATAAAACTGTTGGAAAAAGAGAAAAGAAAAAGAAGGAAAAAAACGCAGCAGGGAGGAATGTACTCCTTGGCACAATCCACCATCTTCCCCCAAACAAGGTCGCTGGGCAGGCAGGGACAGGATAGCACATGTGGAACCGGGCCCAGAAGGAAGAGGGAGAGCACTGTTACGTGAAGGGGGAGGGAGGCCACCAGGGCCACGAAACACTGCGTGTGGACACTGTTGAGTGGAAAGCCGATTTGTCCTGTGGAAAGCTTTTGCCCAAACTACTATATATATAAAAAAGGGAACGGAAATTAAAAATCAGCCTCTCTGTCATCCTGTCAACATTTCTAATACTCAAGCGGCACCTGTGTGTTAGACACCCGGAGCAATATAGATATGAGGTATTTCTATCATCAGAGAAGGCTTTGCAGGACAGTGGTGGTCTGGAGGAAGGCTAGGCTTCTACAAAGCTCTCTGGTGGCATTCTGAGTGACTTGGGGAATGTCACCATCAGAGGGGTGCAGGCTGGTGGCCTGGGTACTTTGTGATCGGCAAAGTAGTCTTTAAACAGGCGGTTCTGGAACCTCTGGACACCTGTGTCCCCAGTGGCCAGGAGTGAGAAAGGGCACGTGCCTGCAGAGCTGGGCCAACGCACGAGCTCTTGTGAGCAGGAACCCGCTGGTTTCTCACTTCCGGCGCCACCAAGTCACAGTCCAGCTGTCGGAAGCCAGAAGCCCGGCTCAAGAGATGATGGCATTTTGGGATGGTCCAAAGTTTCCCCTCGCAAACTAGTGGATGGAAGAGACCCAGATGTGCAGGGAGAACGTGGGCAGCTTGCAGAAATAGCTGAGAGGAGTAAGGCGAGCTACTTGGTAAAGCGTCTGTGTGGATCCCCATGGATTGCACCCCAACGCTTAGCCAGGTTCTGCCAAAGTACTGCCTGAACAAACTACCTGAACCACATCAAACCAACGAGACACAACCTGGAAGTCAGCAAGAGAGTTTTCTCCCTCCAGGGAGGCTGCCTGGTAGGAAGGGAGCCTGGGGCATGGACAGCTATCTTTACCGTTTCAGAGGGAGACCCTGCTTGAGACCAGGCAAACAACACAGATGAAGCACAGAGTCAGGGTGTGGGAAGGAGAGATTTGACGAACCCCGCTTGACAGACATCCTGTAGTCAGAGACATGTGGAAGTCAGACCCACCGGGCTCGCCTTTGCAGTTGAACCAATGAATTTCCTTCGTTCGGTTGCAGACAAAAGTCCTAGCTGATGCAAGACTTCATCCAGTGTTACCAGGAAGTTCCTAAACTGAAACAAAAGCCAGCACAATTAGCCTAGCACTGCGTAGTCGAAAGGGTGAAGCTGGGAGAAAAGAAAAGCTTTGGAGTTGAGTCAGAAGCCAGCCCGGGTCAGGTGGGGAAGGAGCGCAGCCCCGCGGAGTCTCACTTGGCTTCTGAATGGCAGTGCCTGTGAAAGGGAGAGTCGGAGCCGCCCACCTGACTCTGCTGACCTGAAACGATGAATGTCTTCCGAAAGCCATCAGCTGGGACAATATCCGTTTAGGGCATAGGTGGTGGTGTCCTAGCAGGCAGGGCTCCAACACTTCCGGTCTTCCTTGTTCAGGATCCGGGGGTCCTGGGAGAGAGGACCCATTGGTTGCGTGCAGTTCCTTCCGGCTGTGCTACAAGCGGAATGTGCTCTGGCCCGCAGGCTGACATAGTGAGGCTGATGGTTGCAAGAAATCACCCTTCCACCACCCAATGGAGCGGCCTGCGCGGAGAAACCGGGAGCGCAGAAGGAAAAGGAATCGACACTGAGCATCCCAAAGCCTACAGATGTTCGCCATGCCTTCCGATGGGCCCCACAGTCTCGTTCCCGCAGTTCCTGTGAGGCAGCGCTCCGCTGGGTCACAGTGCTCAGTTGGCATGCTACCTTCAGGCTTCCATACAGGTGTATTAGCTACCCTGTCTAGACAGCATCTCTGCCCTTTCCCACCTGCAAACCACTCATTGTGAAGACCAGTTCCAGAGGTCCTTCCATTCACAGGCTCTCAGCAGGGGAAGGACCAATGTGGGACAGGTCTGTATTCAGCTGCAAGCCAGAATGAGTCCCGTGCTTTTTCTCGTTGATGAGCTCATCTCCAAGTCTCCTGGTCTCACATTCATCCTGGTCTGAACCGCTGTGGTCAACATGCTACCCCAGGGAGAAATTTTGTTGAAAAGACATCCCTTTCGGTGACCAGGCTGGGATGCCCTCTCCCTCTCCCCTCTTCTTACTGGATCGCTCTCCCAGGAAGCCTTCCACAGCCCTTCGCTCCCAGAAGGATTGATACACCCCATCAGTCTTCTTGCATTGCACTGGGTAAATCTGCTGCACAAGACCTCGTTAGAGCGTTGAAAAGCAAGCGGTTACTTTGAGGACTGAGGTGCACCTGACCCACGCCATGGTATTTTCAATCGTCTCATATGCAAATGAAAGCCGTACATTGAATGAAGAAGAACTGATGCATTTGAATTGTGTTGCATTTGAGAGTACCATGGACTGCTAAAAGAACAAACAAATCTGTCTTGGAAGAAGTACAGCCAGAATGTTCGTTAGAGGCAAGGACAGTGAGACTCTCTTACACTTTGCACATGCGGTCAGGGGAGACCAGCCCGGAGAAGGCTGTTGTGCTTGGTAAAGTAGAGGGGTGGTGTACAAAGAGGAAGGCCCTCCAGGAGATGGACTGACACAGTAGCTGCACAAGGGGCTCCAGCTTGGGAACGATGGTGAGGATGGTGGAGGACCGGGCAGTGTTTCCTTCTGCTGTGCACAGGGTCACTCCACCCAACAACAACAGAAACAACCTGGCTTCAGGGAAACGGTGGATCAGCAGACTTCTCAGGTCCCAGGCAGGAGAGCCGAGGCTGATCTCCAGCCAGCGCACCTCGAGCTCCGCCACCACCTGTACATCGTGTGTGATGACAGGGTGCTGAAAAGGTCTCAGCAGAGCTTCCAAACAAAGCCGGGCTAGATGCAAAGGCCCCACAATCTGCTCACCGAAAAATTAGCCAATGGAAATCCTACGGATCACAAGAGATCAAGGCAGAAAGTGCGGTGCCCTTTATGACCTGGGACTGGAAATCAAACACCATCGTTCTGTCCTGTTCCATCGGTCACACGGAGCAGCTCTGGCTCACGGTGGGAGGAGACTGCACAAGGGCACGTGTACAGGAAGTGAGGGTCAATGAGAACATCATGGAGGCTGCCTGCCACTGACTTCCCTTCCTCTTACTTCCGGGTTCGCCCTCTTTCCCTACTCTTAGACTTCACTTTCAGGGAGGTCTTCCCAGGCAGCGGCAAATCCCTAGGGCCACATCCATCACACTTGGCGGCCCCATTGGAAAGAAAGTTACTTTTTCCAAAAGTTCTGACCAAAGTCCCAATGCAGATTTTGATTGGCCTAACTTGTGTTACATGTTTGTCTGTGAACCAATCACTGGCATGCCTCTGGTTGGCCAGACTGAGACCCCACCCACTGAACTGAAGGTTGAATTGGCAATACTAGAGGCTCCTGAAGGAAGTGGGAGAGAAGGAGAAATCAGGGTACCATTAATGAATCAGAGCAAGTAAACACTAGGCAGGGAAACCAACCCATGCCCACAGCTCATCTTTCTCTCAGATGAGCCAGCCACACATATGAACAGGCTGACTTAGCCCTTAAACTTGATCTTGACTTTCTTGGTCCCCAAGATCCCCATCCCCTGGTGTACAGCGCACCTTCTCCAGTTATTCAGTCAAACAGTCATCTAGGTGGTTCTGTGAAGGGATTTTGCCTATGTAATTAAAGTCCCATATTAGTTCATCTAAAACTAAGGTAGACTCTTGTTGGGGTTGGGGGAGCCTGGTCCAATCAGAGGAGCCCTTCAGCGTGAGAGCTTTTTTCTGGCACAGGAGATGGGGCATGTGAGAGAGATCGGTGAGGGGGAATGCCTGTGGCTGGCTGATTTTAAAGATGGAAAGGGCCACGTTAGAGAAACTGCCAGCAGTCTCTGGGAGCTGAGCGCGGCCCCTGCCAGCAAGGACGCAGGGCCTGAGTCCTTTGTCTCAAAAGAAGCGAATCCTGCCGACCAGCTGAATGAGCTTGCAAGAGGAAACCACAGGCCCGGAGCCTCCGGAGAGCTTAGTCTTGAGTGCAGCCTTGGGATGCTCTGAGCAGGGAGCCCAGTCATGCAGCGCCAGACGTCCGACCTGCAGAACTCTCCTTGTACCGTTTTCAGCTGCTGGGCCTATGCCCCTTTGTTGCACAGCAAGAATAGAAAGCGAATACACTTCCAAGTGGAGAGCTGCCCTTTCATCCTTTAACCACCTCACTCCTAATCCGTCCTGGAACACGTTTTCTGTTCCTCCTCCTCCTCTCATTATCCGGGAAAGCACGAGGGTGCCAGTTCTGTTGCTCTGTTTGGCTTTCCACGGCCTGTGCCCAGTAAGTCCCAAAGGGCAGCTTGCTGTGTCCTGGCTTCCCAGGCCTCAGAGACCTTTGGCCAGTCCTATTGATCTGGACTCCTGAGCAGGTGGCTGGCCCAGCAGAGAGACGCCATGAGGGTGCTGCTGCTTTTAGGGTCCCTGCTGGTGAACCTGGAGTCGGTGCTTTCGGTGAGGGCTATGGGAGCCAGGAAGGTTGTCCGGGAGGTCTCTGTGCTGCTGGTTGCGGGGGTAGAGGGGAGTAGTCCCTCTGGTTAGTCTTGGTCTCTGGTCATGATCTGTGCAGGTGTAGAAAGGTGAGGCCAATCCAGAAGGCCCGGGCTGAGGAGACAGACAGACAGAGGTTGTGGCTATGAGGGCACAGCCCGCACTGGCGGGCAAAGGGAACTGGAAGAGACAAAGAGGAGGAAGGAGGGGGCTTCAGATCTTGGGATAAAATCTCTGGATTTCTGGGCAATGGTAGGAAGGTAGAGCTTAGCTTGGGACCAGGCACAGGTGATGACTTTGGGGGAGCAAATTCCCTGCCCTTTTATCATCATCCCCTATAGGCTCCACCTTGGAAAGCCTCCAATAAGTTCAAACACAAGGTGGAGGTGCACCCGGCGGATGAGCACACAGTGGGTGAGTAGCCTGGCCCCACCTCCTAAGACACACCATTAAGTGGAGCAAGTGTGGGCAGGAGGGTGAGGGGTGGGCGCCCTGGACACTAGTCCCTGGAAGTGCTCGCATTCGGTGCCAGGTGCGTTGTGTCCAGGACACCAGAGTGGTACTGGGCTGAGTGTTCCTTGAGGTCAGGCATGGGGGCCAGTTTCAAAGCGGACACCATCCCTCACCCTGGGCTCCTGCAGCCTTCCTCGTTGCCCTAGCCCGCTGCCCTCTTTGTCTTCCCTTACCAAGCCTCCCAGGCATTAGTCAGGCCACAAGGGCTGGCCTCCTCTGCCCCAAAGCCTCGGAATCCCGGCTTCCTCGCTTAACAGCTGGGTGGCTTTCGGCGAGTGACAGCTTGCTAACCTGGCTGCAAGTTTCCCATCTGAAAAACTGGCAGGATAAAAGTAAATCTTTCGGGCCCCTCGGTCCAGAGCCTGGCCCCTGATGAATGCTCCTAACATATTAACTTTGGAAAAAAAGGATTTTTGTTGTTGCTCTAGAAGAGAATCCACATAGCAGATGAGACAAAAGGGCTTCCAACACTTTGTGGAAAAAGGAGATGTAACAATGCAGCAATTCCCGCATGTACCATTCTGAAGGCACTGAAGGCAATCTTTAAGCTGTGCAAGTCTTCTCCCCTTCTTTCCTCTAAACTGTTCCCCCTCCATTCCCATGAACTCGCTGCCCACTAAGTGCCCTGTCTGATCCTCTGAGTGGCTGCTGTCAGATTGAGCCTCTGATCACTGCCAGTGATCCAGTCGAAGCCGACTCACAGTGACCCTATGATAGGACAGGGCAGAACCGCCCTGTGGGTTTCTGAGATGATAACTCTTTGCAGGAGTAGAAAACTCCCTTTTTTCTTCCAGGGAACAGCTGTTGGTTTCTAACTTGCAGTTAGCAGCCCAATGGGGAACCACTATGCCACCAGGGCTCCCAGTGAGCCCATGAAGATAGTTCTAAAAAGAACACAGTGCACAGGCAGACATTCTTTGCTAGTTCAGCTAAGCCGTGGTTTAGCCGGGGATCTTTTTTGGCCTATGTATTCGCTTTTAAAACCAAACTCCTTTTTAAATGAGGGTGAGGTAGGGTGGGGGAGAAGAGGGAGAGAGGAGGGACGTGGGTGTGCCTACCTTCTCCCCTCTGCCCTGTTCAAACCTACCACAGCTCTCTCTGGTCTTTACTCAGCCAGGCCCTGAATATTTATCTGGTGTGTAATGAGCCAGGGCTTGGAAGCCGTGTGCTCTGAGCCTGCCCTGAGGAGCCGCCCCTTCGCCCCTTCGCACGGCATGTGAGGCCAGCACACTGTGACTGGGGATGACCCCTGCCTCCTCTTCCCATGGCCCTCACTCCCACCCACACTCTCCTCACTCTTTCCTGCACCCACCTTGGTGCTCTGCCCTTGCTCAACCGCCTACTTGGGCTGGGTCTTCCTCTCATCTGTCTAGTTTGCATAGAACAGTCCATCTCAGACATTTCTCTCCCCAAGGAGTCTCCCCAGCTGCCCACACCCTGGCCTCCTCAGAATCATCCACATATTTTACTGTCCACGCCTGGCTTGTCCCTCAACAAGTGTCACTACACCTTTAGTAATAACATCGCAGCAAGCGTCGGAGCTTTAAACATTCCTCTAAAGGAGGCAGCTTTATTACGAGGAAAGCAAGGCTCAGGGTGCTTAAGTGATGCCAACATTTCACAGGAATTTTTTGAGGGAATACTCTATGGCAAGGGGTCTCTGGGGTGCTTAAACAATGAAGCCGGGGTGACTAGCTAGAAGCTTGGTGGTTTGCACCTACTCAGAAATGCCTCGGAAGAAAGGCCTGGTGACCTGCTTCCCCAACTCAGCTTGACAGCAACTTCTCTTTATTTATTTATAAAAATAATTTTGTTAGGGGCTCATACAACTCTTCTCACAATCCATACATACATCAATTGTGTAAAGCGCATTTGTACATTCAAGCAACTTCTCTTTAAAAAGCAAACCAATGAGTATGGGGAAATAAAACTATGTGCCTACATTTATAGGTTTAGTATTAAGGTAGCAGAAGGACATTGGGCCTCCACTCAAGTACTCCCTCAATGCAAGAATATTTTCTTCTATTAAATTGGCATTCTATGATACTCACCTTCCCGACACAACCACTGAAGACAAAGTGGGTGAATGGGCAAATGTGAAGAAAGCTGATGGT